CTTCCTAAAATTTACGGACACAGCACAATGCCTTGGGCTAGCGATTGACCGGCAACTATCCTGGAATGACCATGTTCAAATTGTGTGTAAATCATTCAACAAGAAACTAGGTGTTTTGAAGAGAATTAAGTTTTTACCTAAGTCCACCTTGGAGACTATCTATTTCAAGACCATAATCCCATCCGTCCTATATGGAGTTGCTGTTTGGGGATCATGCTCTTCGGCCTTACTGGAGAAACTTGAGCGTATTCACGCACGAGCTGCGCGGCTAATCTATAATCTACCGAGGGAAACAACCATAAATGACTTGAGAAATCTAAAGGGTTGGTCTCCCCTTTCCCACTTCTACACAAAAAGGATCCTATCAATAACTTACAAATCATTCCATGGGCTCAATAATGATCTACTTAATAAACTAGTTACAAAAAGTGCCCAAGTGTATGGCCTTAGAAAATCCTTGAACATAAATGTAACAAGACCAAAAACTGAAACAGGACGATTGACCTTTAAACATAGGGCTGCCATTGCTTGGAATACCCTCCCGGACAGCATAAAGGAGGCGTCCAGCCTTGAAGCTTTCAAAGAAAAACTGAAGAAAAACAAACTGATCTTGAGCAGTATATCTTATTCAAAGGAATCTTCATCAATTACGAATAAGGACGATATTTATACATATTTTTGAACTAATTATTGTAATACTAGTAACTTCTATATGTATGTACATATTTCTATTTGTTAATTAAGTGTAAAGTTTTAAATTAGTTAGCAGGTCTACATCAGGACTTTAGTCTTGCCTACCCAGTAACTTGCTTTATCAAATAAACCATGTATGTATGTATGTATGTAGGTGAGAGGTGGTTTCATGTAGACTGGACCGCAAAAAATGCTTTCATGCAAGCACAGGTGGCCCAAGCTCTGTCACAGGCTCTTTCACAGTGAATAATTAAAGAGTTTGTATAGTGGTTTAGTTGGACTTGCTTTTGAGCTCCGTAAATGTAAAGTTGTGTGAAATAATCAAGGAAATAAAGTCTTACCCTCATAGAGAGTAGTCTGTGTTGTTCTCCTCGCGATTTGAGGCCATTTTGATGTGTTTTAGCTTGACGCCCTAAATCACCGTGCACAAAATACGGGAAGGTCGGAAACTTCTGTTCACACATGCTCACCAAAATCGATCAAAAACAACACTTAAATACTTTCCCTCGAATCAAAACTTGGCAGCACGAAAGCCAAATAGTTGCCCTTTAAGTTCACCGAAAAAAATGCCACAAAAGTTGGTTTGTCGAGCAACCATTCCAGCGAGAATCTCAAATTAACGGCCACTCTGAATTCTTCAAATGCATGGAAGGAACATCTTGTGCAGCTGAGAGACTGTTAATGCGCGGTCAACCTGGACCCTAGTCAAGTCTCTCTCAACGGGTCCTCCCCATAGTCTTCTAACACCAACTCTTCACACATACTAAGGTACCCCGGGTAAACTCATCAACTTGACTAGATCGTCGATACTGTCCATCTTAACTTCACTGTTTTCTTGTTATACTTGATAACAACAGAAATACTGGGTACCTTAGTAGGTGTGAAGGGTTGGTGTTAGAAGACTATGGGGAGGACCCGTTGAGAGAGATTTGACTAGGGTCCAGGTTGACCGTGCATTTAATGGTCTCTCAGCTGCACAAGATGTTCCTTCCACACATTTGAAGAATTCAGAGTGGCCGTTAATTTGAGATTCTCGCTGGATTGGGTTGCTCGACAAACCAACTTTTGTAGGATTTTTTGCGGTGAACTTAAAGGTCAACTATTTGGCTTCCGTACCGCCAAGTTTTGATTCGAGGGAAAGTATTTAAGTGTTGTTTTCGATCAATTTTGGTGAGCATGTGTGAACAGAAGTTTCCGACCTTCCCGTATTTTGCGCACGGTGATTTAGGGCATCAAGCTAAAACACATCAAAATGACCTCAAATCGCAAGGAGAACAACACAGACTACTCTTTTATGAAGGTAAGACTTTATTTCTTTGATTATTTTGCACAACTTTACATTTACGGAGCTCAAAAGCAAGTCCAACTAAACCACTATACAAACTCTTTAATTATTCACTGTGAAAGAGCCTGTGACTGAGCTTGGGCCACCTGTGATTTGACCAAAACTCCCCTGAAATATTGTATTTTTTTATCTGCAGATATTCTGATGAACTCCTTTTTTCTTGTTTGACAGTTATACCAACTTTTGTAAGCCTTAATATGTCTCCAAGAGTTTGCAAAACTGTTAGCCCCTCAAACACAGGTAGAGTTTATCGTAGAATTAATGGTCATAATTAGGTCATAAGTAACAGGTCCACATGTTATTAGTACCCTTGAAATACAGAAGTCCTGTTGTGGTTTTCAGAGAACTGGGAATTTATTTTGGTTGTTATTGTAAGTTATTGCAGTGAGGATGATCAAGCAAAGTGGGAACTTTTTTATTTAACTGACTTGATTGTACACTGTATGACTAGAAATCCTAGAATGTATAATCTATTCCGAATCATCAAATTTTTTTTCTGGAATGTTATTTTTTTTTTCCTACAGTTTGGTCCACATTTAATATTGCATCTGCAAGTGATCAAAATACTGTTGGGCCACCAACAACTACAGGTATGGTTAAATTGTGTATTGTTTGTTAAATCCTTGTTAACCTCACCCTGTGACTATTAGGGAGAATTTAAATGGCCACTTGAGGGTTCTCGTGTTTCAGTACCTGATCTGGTGCCAAAATTACAGCACAAGAACAAGGTTAAGAGTGAAGTCCCTTGGCATCAGTGTAATGAATAAGGAGACCTGGTAATGAAAAGTGAGTGAAAATTTCTCGAAAATCAATGTGGGGAGTGAAATATTATTTGTGGGAGAGAGCTTTTCAGTTAAGTGACTGCAAAGGAAAGAAGAAAGCAGAAGTTTTTTATTTATTCAAGTAAGCTGCAGCAATGAAGCAGATCAAACTAGCCTCATTTGTTAAAACCCACATAAAGAACTGGCAAAGGAGAAATTACCAACAAGTGAGAGCAAATTGCCCATGTCTAAAGTGCTTAGTGTGCTGAGGTCAGGGTTGGAGGCCTGGTCAGGCCATTATGTTGTATTTTGGTTGATACTTGCATTTTATTTTGGTCGATAATTTTACTTTGTTAAAGAAGTGATATGAAGTAATTTTAATGCATTGAAGATCTCTCTTACTTGTTGTTTCTTTTCATTGTTTTGTGATATTTTTAGGAACAGATAGTTCAAGTAATCGAGCAGTGGCAATTGGTGTTTCCTTTGCTGTATTAGTTATAATTGTGATCATTGCTGTTATGGTTTGGTATTGTTTCTGTCGAAATTGGGACTGTGCTACAGGACATGCTGAGCTTTCTGCTTCAACTGATAACATTTTGAAGGAAATCCCCAAATTCAATGATGAGCAATAATGATTATCACTGGCTGTCTGTCTGTGTCTGCTTATTCTATATCTATTTATTTATTTATTTACTTGCCCATTCTGTAAGTTACAAAACGTTCCACAATTGTTTAATTTGTTTCTCGTGTTCAGTCCGCGCGGGACTGGTACAATTACGTCATTTAAATTGTTAAATATTATGGGATAAACCATGTGCTCGTACTTGCAGAGGTCAAAAATTCGTTTAGGATGTTCAATTGTTTTCTCACTGCTTTATTCACTTATTCCTCGAGTCCACAAATCTTGTGAGTATGTTTTCACTGTAGTTTTTTCGTTTCGCTTCGTTTTTTTTACATTTGTTTCCTTTTTTGTACAGTTAAACCAGATCTTTGTAAAACAAAGGGTTATTCGAATATTCAAGTCTACACATTCCACCCACCAACTTTCATAATAGAGGCTATAATAGAAAAATTGACTATTTTGTGGGAATGGCCTTCGTTATGATAACATCATGGAACGACCTTGCCGCTTTTGATAAGACTTCCAAAAGTAGTTTTTCTAATATGTAGCCTAAGGCTAATTGTTTATCATGTAAATAAGTAAATAAGTAATAATACAAGTAAATAATACCATGTACATATGGGCGAAGCCCACTAAAAATATTTTTAAAAGAGCACTTTTCTTACATTACCTTTCTCAGTACTGATTAATGTCTTCCTCTGACAAGAAAAAAAAAACATTAAATTTAAGAACTTAGGCCCTTTTATGTATTTATTTGCATATCTGCAAGTCTTACCTGCCTTCTTTATTTTACTATAGATATAGGAATATCATTCCAATAGTAGCACCCTAGAACTATTGGAGAGAATTTTTTTTATATTTATTCTGAAGGAGCTAGGGTTCAGGTGTTGCAAAGATGTACTTCTAGTGGCATAATCATAGATCTCAGATGCAAAAGAAAGTGCAAAATTTGAAGATTTTTTTGTCTACAATATGATAGTAGAATAGTTGACACGTACTCAATTTAATTATGTTAGGAAGCTTAATTAGGCCAAGGCCTATATAATGGGCAGTAACATGGTCACGAATTGGTACGTTGTTGATGATTCTCACAGCTTGCTTTCTGTACAAGTTGTATATATTAAGTAGTATGCACCAAGTACAAGGAAACGATTTGTCAATAGAGAATTTTTTACGTCTTTTATGTTAGTGAACAAATTAAAATCATCTTTTTTTTACGGTTGTCACTGTATGAACTTTTCCCTAAGGCTGGTCTGTTAAAGGAAATCTTAGTGATATGTAAGTCTAATTAAGGCTTACATAATTTTGTAAGGAATTTAATTGGCCTTCAAACTGGTTTTGGTGAGGGAGAGATTGGCCAATAGGTAGGCCACAAGCAGTCCCTGCTTTTGGGAGAAGTCCGTCGTTCAAGTCGAAAATAAATCAACGAAAAAAAATTGATATCAGCACGTGCGCCTTACTCAAAGCTCCGCGCGGTGTATCTAACTTGTTGCGGGTCGTCGATGAATTTCTTGGGTCACGAGTAAATTGTCGCGGGTTGTGAATCAAGAACAAGTCATTCATTACATCACAAGATAATCTGAACCACTCCAAATTACATATCTGAATAGCATAAGGCTTGATTACGTAGTTAAATTTCACCTATTAATCTATGTCGTTAATTAAGAGGATTAAAAGGACGGCAGCAGCATAGACACCCAAACCTCCTGGCCAGTTTCCCTGCTCCCACTGTGGACGTGTTTGCCGTTCCCGCCTTGGACTCCTCAGTCATCAACGAACCCACCCACGCACATAGACGTCATCATCGACACCGATGGACCACCAACCAATTAAGAGGAACGGTGGTAACTAAGAGATGTACCATCGAACGTTCAAGTAGATGGAAAAAAGTGGAATCCGGGACGCTGAGGCCCCACTCACTTAAAGAGAAGAGGTTGGTGGCCGTTGTGGGGTGATTGCCATGAGTAAATATATCCCCAAGGAGAAAAAAGTAGTGCATTGGAGAGTTTACCGTTGCACATAGGTGGCCCTTAGTGAAGTTTCCCCCTATCAGCCTATGACGCGATAAGGAGTTTATTACCTTACCTGCTGTGGTACACGCTAGCCTCTTCAAAGTTTTAACAATTAATTTAATATGTGATTAGGTTTACTATTTGAGATAAGGGCTGATAGTTTCGAAAGAAACTGTTTGGGGCTGCGTCGGTGGGAGTAACGAAATACTATATTTGAGATAAGGATAAGCTGAATTAACACTTTTATAACTGCTGTCCAGTTTTCTTCATATTCCGCTACTTTCACGTGTCATGAGCACGACGAAACAGCACTTAGCTAGTGATAATTATTATTTCACCCACGACCTGCGACCATTTACCCGCTACTCGCGACCTGCCAGATAATTAACAATTATTGGACGAGGTTGAGCAAAATATCGTGATTTGTCGGTGACGAGCAGAACAATTATTTGCTGAAGCCGAAGGCTGAGGCAAATACAGTAAAAACCCGCGTGTAAGAACCCAGTTTTTTTCGTGTCTGGCAAAATAGGTTCTATGTTTTGGGTTATTTACTGACAACTTAGGCAAAACGGGTTCTTAAAATATCTTTAATGAAAATGCTATTAAATAATTATTAAATTAATTATTAAATTATACAGTTTAGAAGTTTATACCCACGAGTACATTTTTTTAAACTTGCTTTAATACATGACTGGGAGCCATAAATACAGTGGGGAAACTGTAGTGTGAGATGTTTTATGGAAGTATCAAATGTATAAAAACAGTTAGACATATTTTGCTACAACATTGTATCATTATTCAGAATGACTCTTTATATAAGAACCATGCAGTTTTTGCTGGGTAAACAGGTTCTTATCTTTTTGGGTATTAAAATCCAAAATTTCTGCAGGTCACGTGGTTGGCTCCCAGCCAATGAAAATAGGGAAAAATCCATCGAATGATAATAGCATACAGTAATATAACACAAATTATTGAGGTAACAAATGACCTAAACGTCGTGATAATTTCTCTGATGACATTATCCTGAGTCCAAAAGTAGTTAACTGTTTATGGATATCAAAGATCACAAATCGAGAAAATATGTGGGTGAAAAATTAATAATCAGTGGAATTAACATTCACAGCGACTAACTCTGGAAAACGTTGGAAAACCGTTGGGATGATGGGAATCGTAAAATTTTTGGAGAGCCAGGAACCTGAGAGCATCGTTTGCATTACAGCTGTATTACGGGTACACACGATAAACTTGGAAAAAGAGTTTAAGCAGCCCTGTGCGGTCAAACTAGCGCTAATAACTCCTGAGTAGATAGAGTAGCCTTCACAGTACTCGTCTTGGAAAGTTATTGTAATGTCGTAAGTAACCTAAAAAAGACCCCTTTTTTCAAGGACTTGTCACATCCACAGTTTTTAATCAAACCATATAAAACCATATAAAACCATATATCACTGAAAAGCTACTGAATCATAGATTTCAGTTTTTTCAATTATTTCTGCACACAATTTATTTGTAACCTGATATCAGCAAAATATTGTTACCCCATACTGTGCACAACCCACATGTACTCTAGAAAAGAAATCTTGATATGGAATGCAGCTAGCTCTGATTTGTTTTTATAACTATATAGTATATAGGCTAATCATGGGGATGAGCATAGAGTTTTAAAAAATATAAAAAACTTTGGTTCCAGCCTCCAGTTAAAGTAAAGCAAAATTTTTGGGGTGAATTTCCACCACAATTTTCTTTGTAACTTTTGACAAAGTAAAGCTACAGAAAAACCCTTTGCTCATCCCCAGATACTCTTTAAAAGCAATAAACATTGAAAATTTCAAGTCAGTAAGTTAAATCCTCTATGAGATATGTTTTCTAGAATGCGCAAAATGCACATTTTGAGAAAAGTGCGATTAAAGTTTAAAAGCTAAAACGAAGATTGGCTGCACAAATTTGCATGGCTATAAACTATCAAATATCATAGCAAATGTTTCTTTCAGTCACTTAGTATTGGTTGTCGGAAAGGGGCGTGATTGAGGGCTGTCACCCGAAGCTTGGTGGCATGCGAGTGACATCCTCAACGGTCCTGCCCAGAGGATTACTCCGCTCGCTGCTTTGCAGCTCGTTGGTCGGCGCTTCGCGCCGAATTCTCGTACTCCGGTAGAGAGAAGAGAACCTCTGGGACCAGGGTATTTTCATTGTGGAGTTCGCTGTGTAAATTTTTCTTGAAAGCACGTGCTGTTTGCGACGCGCTCAACTCTGTGAGACCTCATGGCGGTTTCGCTACCAAGTTTTCCACCGTTCGACGTCCATGCCGATGGCAGCGCAGGCCCACGATGGAAAAGATGGCTAGGACGCTTAGAACGAATGCATATCGGAATGAACATCACAGCTGCGAAAAGGAAACGGGCTTTGTTGCTGCATTATGCCGGCCCCGACGTAGACGAAATATTCGACACCTTATATTGGAGAAGACGGCGACTATGACACGGCGGTCGCGAAACTTGACGAGTATTTCTCCCCACAAGTCAACACCACATATGTAGTATATAATTTTCGCCAGACGAAGCAGAAAGAGGGTGAATCGCTCGATAGTTTTCACACTAGGCTTCGCCAACTCGCGAAAACCTGCGAATTCAGCGATGTTAACAAAGAAATTAAAGAACATATTATTCTGACGTGCAGTTCCAGCTCGCTCAGACGCCGAGCACTAGTTGAAAACCCAACGTTAGAAGGTTTATTGAATCTAGGAAGAGCATTAGAACTTAGTGAAAAGCAAGCGAAAGACGTAGAAGATGCCGGAGGCGAATTCGACGCCGTCAACAAAATCAAACGAAACGAAGAGAATAGGCAAAGCCGCCCGCGCGACCGGCGTGACACACAGTCATGCAATCGTCGTCTTAGAAACAAGCAAGGCAAATGTCCTAGAAAATGTGGCGGGTACGCACCTCACAAAAATCCATGTCCTGCACAAGGAAAAATCTGTAAAGTCTGCGGGAAAATTGGCCATTTTGCTCATGTTTGTCGTTCAAAACCTCGTACCGTGGCCTCCGTGGGTCAAACCTCTGATGAAGAATATGAGTACGTTTACACTGTCGACCATCAAGAAAACAAGAAGCCACCCATATGTCAGCTACAAATCAATGGAAAAAACGTGAATATGATGATCGACTCGGGTGCATCTGTTAATCTTCTTGATGAAACAACCTTTCAAAGAATTAACAGTCACGGCTGTGAAAGCCTGCAACCTGTTCACACCAAGATTTATTCATATGGATCTAAAGTCCCTCTTCC